ACTTTTATGTGAAAATTGACAAAACTTCTATTATATATGTCGTATATATTGACTCCCGAAGAACATAAACCCGAGAAGTTGATAGGGACGATACCTACAAATTTCGATGATGGTCAGATGATATTGAGGAGAGGGAATGGACCAAAAACATTTTCTATATATTTTTCTAGTCGCTCTAGTGGCCACTATTGTGAGCCGAACATGACAAATTTTACACGGGAAAATGATCTGGCCAGCTATTTATTTAGAGTCAAGTGAACCAAGAATTTTGTGTGTGTAAAATACCCAATTTGAATCGTATGGTGTAAATGTTTACTCCGGGAATACATGATTTGTAGAATATGCCAGGGAAAGAAAGAGGAGTTCCTGTCCTCTAATCGATTGAGAGTATGGAATATAGATCTGCAGAAAATTAGAGTTCGGTGGTAGGGTATCACACATTTTATATATTTTCGATTCTCGTGGGATTTCAAATCTTCTTCCCACTAAAAAATTTTAATATCTGTCCATGTTTGATGTAGCTTCCATATAACGGTACCATCCCATTTTCAGTGCTTTGTAGGATTTCACTTTTTCCGTTATGCAAGTATATGTAATTTAGCGGGTCAAAATATATTTTATTGTAAGATTTGTCTAACAAAATAATAATCATTATACGCTAATGTGTTTATTATGACAGTTAAGGTTATTATATAATTAAAATCCGTTGTAGCAACTAGACCACAACGTTATGCAAAAAAAATGTTCACTTAACTCGTATTGCAAACTCGTTATAGGCATTTTAAATATTAATAACAATAATTCTCTTTATAATGGGATTACAAATTGAACAACAAGTTCATGTATCGAAATATTAAATTAATTCTAAAACGTAAATACATATAAATTATATATATCAAACAACAGTTCAGCGAAGAATTCCAATTATAGCAGTTCAATAAATTACAATAACGAAATGGCAATGATTTCTTTATGACAATAACAATAATCAAAAGAATTTCTCAAAAATTTTACAATTTGAATGTTTTGTGCGTTTTAAAAAATAAAGCAATATATTTTACCGTTATATGGGGCTAACCGAAAAAATTAACCTATATTTATAATTTTCAGTGGAGAGATTTTTTATCCTGTAAGAACTCAAAGTATTAAATTACAGTGAATTCGGTCGAAAAAATCACACAAAAATGGGGGATTAATCGAAAAAATATATATACACATACAAGGTGAAAGGAAACCAGTAAGGAAAGTAGTAAAGTCGAATTGGGCCGACAATATGATACCCTTCACCACTTTGGATATATTCAACATATGTATCCTAACAGACGTCGTCGGAATACAAATTTCAGTACGTTGTGTCAAGCAATTTACATTAAATAGGAATAAAATATATATGGGAGCTATAACTAAATCTGAAGCGATTTTCGCGATACTTATAACACTTCACTCTTGACCTAATTCATTACCCTATGCCAAATTTCGTGTAAATCGATAGATATATAAAGACTTTGGTCCACCATTTACATAAAATCGGACGAAACTATATTTGGGAGCATAATCTCAACCGGAACCGATTTTTACGAAACTTATAACACTTCATTCTTGACCTAATTCATTACCCTGTGCAAAATTTCGTTCAAATCGAATGTTATATAGGGACTTCGGGGCACCATTTACATAAAATCGGACGAAACTATATATGGGAGCTGTATCTAAATATGAACCGATTTGCACGAAACTAATCACACGTCATTCTACACTTAATTCAGTACGCCATGCCAAAATTCGTGCAAATCTAATGATTGTCAGGGCCTTTGGTGCACCATTTACCTAAAATCGGACGAAAATATATATGGGAGCTATATCTAAATCTGAACCGATTTTCTCCTATTTCCATAGGGTTCGTCCTTGGGCCAAACCAATGGGCTGTGCCAAATTTCATACAATTCGGATCATAAATGGGACCTGTACTTTGCTCACAAAAATACATGGACGGACGGACAGACTGACGGAGATGCATAAATCGACTCAGAAAGTGATTCTATGCATATTCTCAAAAGGAACCATGTGTGTCAAAGACATACCCTGTACCACAGTGTGGTGAAGGGTATAAAAACTGCAATCAACTTCAGACTGCTGTCATTTCTAAGACACTCGTGCGACAGCTGGTAAAATGATTCCAGTTACAGCTCATTATATTGTTTACATGCGTACAAAAGCATTCGGAAAATATTGAAAAATGAGCTCGGAGTAAAGCCATTGAAATTCTAAAAAGTGCACCACAACAGAAAGAAACCAGTGAGCGGAGCAGTATAGTCGGACGGGGCCGACCATACGATACCCTACACAACTACCACGGAACTCAAATTTTCTGCGGATGTTTATTTCGAGCCTGGGCAATATTTCGTGATATTTGCACCCTCTTGCCCGCTTAGAGGTAAACAGCACCTCTTCCTCACACTGACATATTTTCCGTATATTACGAGTATTCGGTACAGCCATTGTCCAGATTCCCTTCACCGTGGGTTGTGTTGTGATCTCGGCTTTCATTTGTGGTCTATAGATAGACTCGAAAATATAACAAAAAATTAAGTTTTCGGTCCACTTCATTCCAAAATTATTATCTGATCATCACTGAAAATTATAGGCGTTGTCCTTGACCATACCTGGAACCTCATGGAACATTTCAAAGCGATCAGCGTTATAGTTCCGATCTCTAGAGTGATAATGGGCTACAATATAATATACGAATACGCAGAGACCTGTAAATATTTAGGTGTAACTCCCACATCCGAGCACATACAGCAATATAATTGGTCTTAAATTAAAGGTCAACCCCTCCTCTTGGATATAATATCAACTTCTCGGGTCTATGTCCTTCAGTGGTAAATATATACGCCATAGAATACAAATTTTGTCATTTTTCACACAAAAGTCATGGTTCATTTGACCCGCTAAATATTGACCGATCTTTATCAAAACAGGCATGCTTATTCTTTGACCCGATCCCCTTCTCCAAGCAAAATTTCACGAAGTTCGGGCCATTATTGGGGCATATGGAACGACCAGAAAAACCTACAAAAAATTAGTATTTGGTCCATTTCATCCCCTAAATATTAACCGATCTTTCCCAAAAACAATAGGGGTCTTCATTGGCCAGAACCCGTCCTACATGCACACATTTCGTAAAGATTGGTCCATAACTGTGGCCTGTATCGTGTTTACAAATTATAATGGACAGACGGACGGACGGACACACATGTCTAGATCGACTCAGCTAGTCGAGATATGACTATCGGTATACTTAAAGGTGGGTCTAGGATCAATATTTCGCGGCGTTACAAACTTTTGGGGCTGCACAAAGCTATAATACCCTGACAACATAGTTGTGTAGGGTATAAATAGACTCAAAAGAGCTAAAGAGTTGCTTCGCTTGGCCGAAAGTGGTGAACTGAAGAATTTGGTTTTCTCAAGCGCCGGCCATGGTGATGGTGTGAGCGCCATCGCATTTAGCACGCGCCACCCAAGAATAGTTACAAAATGAGGCTCCTCGCTTTCAAGCGCACAATGGCCATCTAAATCTCCGGATACCAATCCGTTAGACTATTGTGCCTGGAATATTTTGGAAAGCAAGGTTGGCACTAAAAAATACCAAAGTGTCGATCCCCTCAAGCAAGCGCTTTGCCGGGAATGGGCCAAAATACCGCCGAGCAACATTCGGACAGCGTCTGACGGTTTCATTGGCCGTTTGAAGGCCATAATTCGAGCCAAAGGTGACCAATTCGAACAAATCTAAACTTATTCTTAAATGTGATGCTGTTTCCGACATTTTTTGCTTTCGTTCATTAAAATAAAAAAAAAAAACAGTGAGTGGAGCAGAATAGTCGGACAGGGCCGACCATATGATGCCCTACACAACTACCCCGAAAATCTAACTTTCTGCGGTTCTATATTCTGAGCCTGGGCAATATTCCGCTATATTTGTACTCTCTTGACCGACTAGAGGTCAACAAATAGTACTAATATTTAGTACGTCCTTCTAATTATTTGTCTATATTCCTTTTACCGAGGGTTTTGTTGTGATGTTCGGCTTATAATTGTGGCCTATAGATCAATTAAAAAAAAAAACACACAAAAAATACGTTTTCGGTCCACTTCATCACCGAAAATTATAGGCGTTGTCCTTGACCATAACTGGAACCTCATAGAACATTTTAAAGCGATCAGTGCTATATTTCCGCCCTCTGATGTGGTAATGGGTTACTAAGGACCCGTAAATATTTAAGAGTAACTCCCACATCCGAGTACATAGGACAATATATTTAAAGGTCACCCACCCACTCCCCTTGGATGTACTATCAACTTCCCGGGTCTATGTCCTTCAGGGGTGAATATATACGCTATAGAATACAAATTTTGTAATTTTTCACCCGCTAAATATTGACCAATCTTTTTCAAAACAGGCATGCTTAGTCTTTGTTCTGACCCCTTTCTCAATGTAAAAATTTGCTATGTTTTTCATCTCCTAAATATTAACCGATCTGTATCAAAAACAATAGGAGTCTTCATTGGGCAGAACCCATCCTATATGGAAAATTTCATGAAGATTGGTCCATAACTGTGGCCTATATCGTGTTTACAAATTATAATGGACAGACGGACGGACGGGCGGACACACATATCTAGATCGACTCAGCTTGTCAAGATATGACGATCGGTTACAAACTCTTGAAGCTGCACAAAGCTATAATAGCCCGACAACATAGTTGTGTAGGGTATACTTATGGCGTTTGACTTTCTTGCAGTTTTTTATCTCACCCTGTATGTTCGATTTTACGTAAATGGTAGTGCCTATGTAAATGTAGGGCCTTACTGGAAAATTTCGTCCGACGTATATTGGTATATATAAAAAGCTTATGAAGAGTACTATACTCTAACATCGAGAAAATGATTCCAAGTTGGGATAAATTCCACAGTATTTGGCCATTCCTGGTCTATATCCTTTAAATAGGATCCAATTTTGCCATAAATTGTTGTCTAACTGGTGGCAAATAACAAGGCGACTGATATGTGGTCACGGTTCTTGCATCCACTTGCCTACCAACACCACTAGAGGAAACTTGAAGATGTACATGTACCGTAACTTCTTGGTTATTAATGTCGCATTTGTTCGTAGAGGTGTTGGTATTATCATCCGGTAAAGTGTGCAATTCATTGATGGCGGCCTCCACGTTTTCAGGCTTTAAAATATCATAGCCTGGCGGTAATACTCCATAGGGCGTATACACATTTGCAACGACTTTTTGTTGTGCGGAACTTCCCTGAGGTGGTAAATATTGTGGAGCCTTAAATGAACTAGTTGGTGGTGGTCCTTTGAAGGGATTGTTACACGGAGTTTGACCATTTGACGTTATTGTTTGGGATGGACCTCTATTCTAGTTAGCAAGGGGTGGTAAATAACCAGGACCCTTAAATGGTGTATGTGGTGCACCCAATTCGTAAAAATTGTCCCATTGCGAGAAAATTTTTATAACGCCTGCTTAAAATCGTTCCCGATTTACATATGAACAATTGTCGAATTTCATATAAATACACACTAAGAAACACGCCACAGCCTACCACGTTTTAACACCTTTCCTAATTAAAATTCAATATTTTTTTCTTTCAACAGAAACTACCTACCCGATATCGTAGATTTAGTTAATAATCTAAATTTGTCAGACAATAAATAAGGTCAAAGGTATCCGGTTTCTTGGATCATTCTACAATCAATGACAATTTATATTTTCATTTTGGAAGAACCCATTCCAATTCTACATTTGATCTAATAATCATCTACGATGACCTTGAGCCATTGTGACCAATTTCGATGGGCTTTAAAAAAAATATTCAAACCACAGAAATAAAAACCCCCCCAATAACCTAAATTCCCACATAAATAAAATGGAGCTGCAGAAGTTACAACTACAACAACAAGAAAAAGACCATAAGAGTTGAATTTTTTCATTTTTTTAATTTATTCGTTAAAATTATAATTTTTTATGAATATGGCTAATATGAGAGTATGTGCGCGTGTGTGTATTCGTTTTGTTTGAGATAAAGAAAAAAAAACAATTTACATACAATTCGAAATAATAATAAAAAAATAACAGAAAGAAGCAATAACAATAAAATGTAACAAACAAAACAAATGAATGATAATAACAAAATGGCAAACAAACACAACTAAAATGAGGTGAATTTTTGAATAATGGGGCAAGATGATCGGCACTGGTGCTGACTAACTGACTGACTGGCTGACTGATGCAAACTGACTGGCGTTTACAACAATTAGCCAATCTTAAGGGGAAAATATTAATGACTTTTTTGGCCAGATGATGAAACTATGCGAATTATCTCCACACAAAAAAAAAAACCGAAGATGGTGGGAACAATTTTTGCAGCAATTAATTGGTCCCTAATGAACCATAGCCATAACTGATGATTGTTTCCCATAGTAGGCTTACGAAAGCCGCACAGGTGAGTAATTAGGTGAAGAGTTGCCGTAATTCAGTTGAGGTTGTGACTAAAGCTAATCAGTGCTATAACGTGTTGCCAAAAACGCAACACGACATTTGAAGGGATGGGTGCAGGGTGGCAGTTTACAATGATAAGCATGGAGGTGATGGTCCAATGTTGGTGTAACGGAAATACCACTCAACAACACTGTCGAGAGAATTTCCTCCTCCTTAATGTTTCACAATACGTTTACGACCTCGGGGTGTGACTTTTTTGTGATTACGCTTCTGACGTGGTGGCAAATAGCCACGAGACTCTCCGCTACTACTTTGATGCTCCGATACATCCTGATGATCATTGAAGATTTTCACAGTTTGCACTTCGTGTTTGTGGCCAGTTACAACTTTGACAACACGATGTTCACCCATGGGTTCCTCATTGCTGGTACCTAGAATTTTAATGGTCTTAACACCACTGTGATCCAAGGATTCCAAAACTTTGAGAGTTTTCACAGCATTTGTATTGACAATTTGTACGGTACGTATTTTAGCGGAAGCTGTTGGAGCACCAGCTACCTTTGGAGTTGGTGTAGAAGAAATGCCAACATTGGAGTGACCCGTGGAGATTTCTTGTCGCAAATCTTTGGGCATAAAAGCTTGCAAGGCTTGACGTGTTTGCGGATTAAGGGCAGAACTGCTAACCTCATGGGACCTATAAGCCTGGGTACTGATTGTATTTTGGGCATAGGACATGGCGGGAGCATAATATTGAGGTCTGGTGGCAGGTTCTTTATACATGGGAGCAACGTCATTGGTATTTATGGCCACTGCTGTTGCTGCTGCCGCCGCCGGTGGTGGTCCATATTGGGCAAATGGTTTTCTGGTACTGCCATAACGTTCATAGGGCTGAACACTGGTCATATAGCTGCTCAAGGGATGCATATAACTTGCCTGGCTTTGGGCTGAGTTCACAAATGGCGGCAAATAGCCTGGACCTTGGAATGTTGAGGGTAAGGCATATGAGGGTCTTGGTTCATTGGAGGTGGGTGGTAAATACGCCGGAGCCTTGAAACCAGAGGGAGTCAAAAAGCCGGCTGCCTGTAGTGTCGGGGTTGAAACTTGAGATCCCGAGCTGGATGTTACTACTCCCGAAGATTGTTCGGCATTATTTGTGGGTGGTAAATACTCTGGACCCTTAAATGGTGGTTCACTAACGGGTGGTAAATAGCTGGGAGCCTTGAAATTATTATTACCAACAATGGTTGTTTGTTGAACGGTCTGGCTTTGAGTGTTTGGTGCCTGCTGAATTTCTGCTTCCACAGGTTTTTGGAAATCATAACCAGGTGGCAAGTAACCAGTTGTGGCTTGCTTAAATTTATTGTTGATATTGGCAACAACATTTGTTTGTTGTGTTATTTGTGGTTGTGGCTGTTCATCGGTTTTTTGGAAATCATAGCCGGGTGGTAAATAACGAGGTTCCCCCTCCACTTTGTGTTGGGCGCCATTTGTATTGACTTGGGCAGGGCTTGGTGGCAAATAACCAGGAGCCTGATAGGATCCTCCCTGAGATTGTTGTTGTGGGACTGGTGGTAAATAAGCAGGGGCCTGATATGTTACACTTTGGGTTTGATGTGTCTGTTGAGAAGAAACTTGGGCCTGATAGGTTACACCTGGGATCTGTTGTGACTGTTGAGAAGAAACTGGCGCCTGATAGGTTACACTCTGGGTTTGTTGAGTAGAAACTGGTGGCAAATATGGAGGAGCCTGATAAGATTCGCCCTGTGTTTGTGGCTGTTGGGGAGAAGCTGGTGGCAAATATCCTGGAGCCTGGTAAGAGCCACCCTGAGGTTGTGATTGTTGACCTGCTAATGACCCAGCAGTCTGATATACTGAAACTCCAGCTGTGGGACTTACGGGACCATTTCCCGGTTTTGCAGTTCCATAGATAATATCGGAGGATTGTTGTCTAACCGGTGGCAAATAACCAGGAGCCTGATATGTACCCACGTTTCTTGCTTCCACTTGACCCCCAGAGGAAACTTGCAGATGTGCCTGTACCGTAACTTCTTGATTATTAATATTGTTGTTGGTGTTCGAGAAAGTGTTGGTATCATCATCCGGTAAAGTGTGCAATTCATTGATGGCGGCCTCTGCATTTTCAGGCTTAACAAAATCATAGCCTGGTGGTAATACCCCAGAGGGGATATACACATTTTCCACGACACTCTGTTGTGTGGCACTTACCTGAGGTGGTAAATATTCAGGACCCTTAAATGAATTACTTGGTGGTGGTGGTAAATAATCTGGTCCCTTGAAGGGAGTGTTATAAGGAGTTTGACCATTTGACGTAATTGATTGGGATGAAGCAGCATTTGTGTTCGCCAGGGGTGGTAAATAATCAGGACCCTTAAATGGTGTATTTGTTTGATATTGAACTTGATTGCTGGCACCTCCGCTCACACTTGGCTGGGGTGGTAAATAATCGGGACCCTTGAATGGTGTATTGGTGGGTGGCAAATATTCTGGAGCCTTGTATTGTTGCTGATTATTGGAGACTACGCCTTGGGATGTAGTTTCCTGATATGATCCTTGTTGATTAACACCACCAGTTGGTGGTAAATATTCTGGAGCCTTATATTGCTGACCACTTGCTTGTGGTGGTGGCAAATAATCGGGTCCTTTAAATTGATTATTCGATGGGAAGGGGTTTGGATTATTTGATACTCCGCCATTGGGTGGCAAATAATCTGGACCCTTAAAGGCTCTATTTTCATTACTGGTTTGGGGAGGTAAATATTCGGAACCTTTAAATACTACACCGGAATTTTCACTACTACCCGATACGGGTGGTAAATAGGGACTACCCTGATATGGGGTTTCCTGTTTTGGTGGCAAATAATCGGGAGCTTTATAGGAATTCACAAATGCCGTTTGTTGTTGTTGTTGCTGCTGACGCTCATTGTAATTATTTTTCTTAGAGAATTTCTCCGGAAATTCATGACGATAATTTGAGGGAAAGGGTATGGGAATCTTTTCATTATTCCCAACAACTTCGTTTTCTTCAACGCGGGAATGTTTGTTCTCCGTTGTGGCACCTCCATCACTAACAATTCTCAATAAGGTGGCATCTAAATTTGGATCATCCAAGGGAAAACCTGGTGGAGCATTAATGTGTTGTATACGAATCTCTTGAGTCCGACCCGAACTAGATCCAGCATCGCCAGCTGGAGTATTGAAGCTATTATGCACCTCATACACTTGATATTTAGAGTTACCATATTTTGATTCTTCGAATTGTTGTTGTTCATTTCCTACTGCATCTTCTGAATGGCTGGGTGGTAGATATTGATTTTGTTGAAGTTGTTGTTCTTTCAATTTCAAGGAAATATCTGCAGCGGCCAAGCCCAATAAAAGTAATCCAACAAAATGGGCAAGAAGCTGGATGGCGTCACATGGTATCAAAAACAAGAAATACAGAAAAATTATAAGAAATATTAAAATTTATATTTTGTTACTGTTGTTGTTGTTGTTCGGGGGACTGAGCGGTAATCCACAGTTTGCTCGTTTTGCCCCCACAGAGTTATGTTTATATTTGTTGTGTTTTTACTGACTTACCTTCATCTTGATGTTGGTCTTGTGTGTATCTATCGAGGTTCCAACATGCAATGTTACTACTAACTGACCTATCCACACATTTTATATCAATCTAATCTTCCAATAAACGCGTCTAAGCGTTATTCGTCTCTTCTTGTTTCATTCATAAAATGTTTCATCTCCTCAAAACACTTTTTTCGAATCTTAAAATATCTCAGCTTCATTGTGTTTTTGTTTGGAGTGGCGCATGCGCAGCTCTTCACGAGTTTGTTTGAATAAATAACAACAACAAATATACAAATTATGAATGTCAGCTCTTGATATGATCTAGTTAGTCGTATATCTGCTAGACAATCAGCTCTTGTTGTTTTACTCACCCGCTGCTAGCACAGTGGGGGCAGAGATTGCTGAATGGTAGTTATCAATTATGAAATTACAGTTAACTGTAATCTGATGACTCAGGGAATCGTTTCCATCGAAAAGAGACACTAAACACCAATACGAGATATTTGCATAAATATTTTAAAAACAGTTCAAAATTGGCCCAAGTTTAATTTTCGGATTAACTATGTTAGAAATATAGACGAATTCCAAATATGTGACGTATTTTTTACAGCCAGTAGTGGAAATATTTATCAAAACAATTAAGCCTATAACGACGTTGAAGGGACCGACGAAATTGGTCCCCATAATCGATACCTTTTAAAAACCGATACTTCATAAACGATTTCGCATATATGTGCCAAACGATCATTGTAAAAGTGATGAAAAAATCTCCAAATTATGTTAACATTTTTAATTTAAAATATTTCTAAAACATGCACATTAATTGATACTTCATTTATCGGTTCGGTACTTCAAGATATACATTATGAAGTATTTTAAATATCTAAGTAACTTTGTAGCAAATTTAAAGTGGACATTGCAAATGAAAAGCGTCTCAACGGCATTGGCTAATTTCTCACACAACTTATTAAAAATGACATTGTATTGAAGAAGTGAGGTGGTCTTGAACAAAACCTCTTGAAGAGCCTCTAAAAATTTTGTTTTTTTTTTTTCTTGGAATTTTGTAACAACATAATTTTGTTCGATTTGTAGTGTATGATTGTGGGAATCACAGAAAATCAATAATTGAAATGACAAAAAGCAGCAGTTGGTAATAGGGATAAGTAATTCGACTTTCGATTAATCGACTTTTTGTATTGAAATGTAAAAAAGTCGAAGTCGACTTTTGATCTTTGAGAAAATCGCAAATTCGACTTTTCAAGATCCACTTTCGATTTTCTTTATAAATATTAGGTTGGGGAAAAAAAAATCCAATTTTATATGAAGTATAGGACTTTATTTAACATGCTTCAGAATGTCCGATTTGGGCCAAATATGCACCGTTTTGTCAAGAAAAAGATTATAAACGTTTAGTGTGGCGGATACATTAAAACTTCCCAACCAAGCTCCCAAAGTTTTTGGCGAGTCACTGTAGATGTGTGTAGTCTAGCGTTATCCTGGTGGAACACGACACCTCTTCTGCATAGGAGAACCTTCCTGGCCGTTAGTCCTGGTTTGAGGTGCTTTACCGCTCTTTGACCACGATCGTTTTCGCACAGAGTTATGGTATGTGATCCATTTCTCATCTCCAGTCACCATCCGTTTAAGAAATGGGTCTATCTCATTCCGTTTGGTCAAGGCCTTGCAGATGGAAATTCGATCAATCCTATTTTTATACCCTTCACCACACTGTGGTACAAGGTATTATGTATTTGTGCATATGTTAGTAACAGGCAAAAAGAAACGAGATAGACATATAGCTTATATAGCCAAAGTCCCATATATCATTCGATTTGCATGAAAGTTGGCATAGAGTACTGAATTAGGTGCAGAATGATGTGTGCCAAGTTTCTAGAAAATCGGTTCCGATTTAGATATAGCTCCCATATATAATTTCGTCCGATTTAAGGTAAATGCTACACCAAAGTCCCTATATATCCTAATACTTGGTTTATAATCCCCTAGGCCCAAATTGTTCAAAAATTACACAATCCGGGACTTTATTTAAACTGTCGAAATTTATATAAGTTGAAAATCGGGTTTGAACAGTTTGGACAAAATCGAATAGTCTGAAAGTCGACTTTAGCGCTCGACTACGTATCCCTAGTTTATAATAGAAAATTGAAACTGGCTTAGCCGCGAATACATTAATTTTCCCAATTTATTTGACATTTCAAAAAGTATAGGACCGATTTAGGAAAATTGTGTCAATCGCACGATACAAAAGGTATATTAAAATTCATACCAAAAATTCAAAATTGTGCAAAAAATTAATTTTATAATATCATCAGAACGGACTATCCTATTTAAACCAAACATTGTACAACCTAATACCTTTACCAAGCGTAGATGAAGTCCGAAGATCGGACTCATTGATCCACTCCTTTTAGGGCCTACCCCACAAAGGGTCAAAATGTTCAATATTTATAAATCCCATATTAGGCGAAAGAAATGTCCGATTTGAACTAAATATTGTACAAGCTATTTTTTACCATGGTGGAACCGATGGTGGAACCAGTAGGCCGTCTCATTTTTGTACCATCCTCAAAAAGGGAGGTATTTTTTGTTATATCATGGCTTTAATAGTTTTGGACGTCCTGTTCTGGAGCTATATTTTGACAATGCCTCCTTTACATTCTCTGAAAACCTCACAAAGATTTACCTACGTCCGTCTATTGAAATCACAATAGAGATCATAATATTTAAGATAGAGCTCTGATATTTTGCACAGACATTTCTAGTACTCCTAGCAGGTTTCGAACTTAACATCGTTTTTATAATGTGACGGGACCGACCGTGTGCAAGTTGCACTGAGCTCTATGTTCTTGCGGATCTATATTCTGACCTGAATAATATTACCCATATTTACACTATATTGGCCGATTAGAGTTTAACAGCTCCTCTGCGACATCTTTTTCGAATAATGGTTTCCCGAGTACACAAATTTACTCAATAATGATGGACGGCTGATAATTGTGACATCTAGCGACTAGAAAACCAGACAAAAATTAACCTTTCGGCCCATTTCATCCCCAAAATATCATTTAATCATCATCGAAATTTATAGACGTGGTCTTGACCATAACATCAATTTCTTAGTCATCAGAGCTTCATATCCGCCCTCTAGTTTAGTAATGGTAATACTAAACAATATCTTAACACCAACTTCTCAACTTCGCCTTCAGCATTTAATATATACGCCATAGAATAAAATGTTTTTAAATTTTCACACAAAGGGGGTCCATTGGACCCGCTAAACATTGACCGATCTTCATCAAAATGGTCGTGGTGTCGGATCATAATTGTGACCTCTAGAGTGACCAGTATAATAGGCAAAATGTAGTTTTTTGCCCATTTCATCCCCTAAATATTAACGGATCAATACTGAAAACAAAATCGGTATTGATCGACTCAGCTAGTCAAGTAAGGCGACCAATATTTTGCCGCGTTACAAACTCTTGGAGCTGCATCAAGCTATAATACTCTGACAACATAGTTGAGTATGGTATAAGAACCCAGACGCTGCGGGTCCTTGAAAAATCACATTCTTTATAAATAACGCAGTATTTGGATAAAACACCCATAAAACACCCATAAAACATCCATTAAAATCAAAACTCAGATTGAATTAAAAAAATCAATAAAACTCGCTCCCTAAGAAATATTACACCTTTGTTTAGAAAATTATTACAAGGTCGATTATGTGCAGAATATTTAATATGTAGGGGAGACTGGGGCACCTTCGGCACTTTTTTTAGAGCTCTATATCTCAGTACTTATTCAACATATATAACAACTTTATGGCTGATTATTTTCCTCTGACACTTAATTATAAAAAATAGTACCAAAAAGATATAAAAAACCAGTGAGCGGAGCAGTATAGTCGGACCGGGCCGACCATATGATACCCTACACAACTACCACGGAACTCTAACTTTCTGCAGATCTATATTCCATGAATGGTCAATATTTCGCGACTTAACCGATTAGAGGCCAATAGCTCCTATTTCTTGTCATGACATCTATTTCGAATTATGTTTTATATCATAATATCCAATTTTTTCATTTTACACAGAATGGTCTTGGTTGACTTGACCCGCTGAATAGTGACAGATCATTACAAAAGCCCATCAAATTAGTTGGCCAAATTCATTTTCTAGTGTAATATTAGGCTTATAAAAACACAATAAAAATAAGTTTCGGTCCACTTCATCCCAAAATTATTATCTGATCATCACCGCGTTGTCCTTGACCATAACCTTAACCTCATGGAAATTTTCACAGCGATCAGCGCTATATTTCCGCCCTACAGTGTGGTAATGGGTTACTGAATAATAGCTGAATACGTAAGCACCTGTAAATATTTAAGTGTAACTCTCATATCCGAGCACATACGACAATATAACTGGTATCAATTTAAAGGCCAAAAACTCCTCTTGGATATACTATCAAATTCTCGGGTCTATGTCCTTCAGGAGTAAATATATATGCTATAGAATACAATTTTTGTAATTTTTTACACAAAAGTGTGAATATGTGCTAAATATTGACCGATCTTTATAATGCTTATTATCATCTTTATCATGCTTATTCTTTGGCCCGATCCCCTTCTCCATGCAAAAATTCGCTATGTTTAAATTGTGGCCTCTGGAGCGACCAGAAAATCAGACAAAAATAAAGC